AATTTATATATTTTATCTAACTTTTCTAATTTATAGACATATATTTGTTCATAATATCTTCTTATTGTATAATTCTGTAAGATCAGTAGTAATATCCCCTTTTGTTTATTTCTGATTTTGGTTATTTGTGCCTTCTCTATTGTTTTAAAATACCTATCATGAGATTTATCAATTTTATTAGTATTTCCAAATTAAGTTTTGGCTTTGTTATATTGTGTGTTTATTTTTCTGTTTCATAAATTTTTGTTCAGATCTTTATTATTTTCTCCCTTCTGCCTTTGCATTCATTTTTGCTGTTTTCTAGTTTATTAGGATAGATGTTTAGTCTACTACTTTCCAGCCTTTCTTCTTTTCTTTCTTTTTTTTTTTTTTTTAAAGAGAGAGAGAGAGAATTTATTTATTTGTTTAGTTTTTGGCAGACACAACATCTTTGTATGTGGTGCTGAGGATTGAACCTGGGCCGCACGCATGCCAGGCGAGCGCGCTACCGCTTGAGCCACATCCCAGCCCTCTTCTTTTCTAATGTATATGGACTTATATACATTTCTAACTACTCTTTTTAGTTGCCTGTAAGTTTTAATATGAATTATTTTTTTTTTCATTCAGTTCAAGGCATCTTTAATTTCCATTGTGATTTTTTCTTTGACCTATGGGTTATTTAGAAATATCTTTCTAAATACATGTAGTGTATATAGCTATATATCCCCCTAATTATTTCAAGTAATGTATATTATGATCAGAGTATTGTAAAATTTAAGACAGTACATAGTCAATTTCTGTAAATGCTGCCTGTGTTTTTTACATGTATATTCTCAACTTTTAATGTTGTTCAAATCCTTTATGTCTAACTTACATCATTTGTCCATTTGTCCCATCAGTTACTGAAAAGGTATTAAAGCCTTCCATTATGACTGTGGATTTAAATTTTTCTTTGTAGTTCTGTCAACTTTTGAATTACATGTGTTGTGGCTATGTTATTAGGTATACCCAACTTTAGAATTATATGTTCTTGGTGAAGGTATTATTATTATTATTATTATTATAAAGCAATTCTTTATTTATAGTAATGTTCTAACTTTAAAGTCTGTTTTCTCTGCTATTAATATTGCTACAGTGGTTTTCTTGGGGGAGGGAGTATTAGGGTTTGTTTATCATGTAGCTTTTCCATTCTTTTATTTTTTCTTCTTGTTTTACGTATACCTCTTTTGCTTTTTATCTGGTCTGAAATTCTTCATTTTACAGCTGGAATACTTATTTCATTTATATTTAATATAATCAGTGATATATTTCAGTTTAAATCTTTCATGTTATTGTGTGTAATCTAATTCTGCCTTTTTGATTCTTTTCATCTCCATTTTTACTTTCTTTGGGATGATTTTATATTTTCTATTGATTCAGGTTTTTTTCTGTGTTGGCTTTCATATTATAGGCTTTTAGTGAAAACTACAACATATTATATCCTTTACTTAGCAACACAGATAATACAAGCACATTAGAATGTTTTAGTTCCATTTATGTTCCTCCACTTAAATATTATTTATATAGCATTTACCATGTATATACTGAAGATAATTACTCAGTTTTTGTTTTTCTATAAATATTATTTTACCTTTGATCTTGAAGAATATTTTTGCAGGAAACAGTTTTAAGTTGACAGCAATTTTCTTTCTGTACTTTGAATACATCATTTAGTTTTCTTCAATAGCTTTCATTATTGCTATGTGAAGTCATGTTATGATCTTACTGTCTCTTTGCAGGAAATGGTTTTGTCACTAGTTCCTCTTGAACATCTTCATCCTCGTCTTTCCTTTTGTTTAGCTAGGTATATTTTTCTTTTTATTTATTCTTCTCAGGATTTGTTGATCTTCTTGAATCTGTGGATTGATATTTTTCCTCCCTCTGTTTCTGGAAATTTTCAGCCATTATCATTTCAAATTTGTTTTCTATCCTCTTCTAAGATTCTAAATAAATACATTATTTATTATTATTGTAGTTAAATAAATAAATGTATTCTCTATGTCTTTTAACTTCCTCTTCTGTATTTTTAACTTTCCTTTTTTATTTTTTACATAGATTCTTTCGATCTATTTTCTATTTTTTCTTCAGCTTGGCCTAAGATACAGCTAAATTCATTTATTAAATTCTTTCTTTTTGACATTATTTAAAAATTATGGAATATTAAATCTTTTTAAAATTTATATGTTGCTTTATGTAGATTGTAATTGCCAAATTTTCCAGCTTGATTTTTGTATCTATGAACAAAATAACTATAAATATTTTATAAATTTATAAATTGACAAATGTCCATTTGTATGTTTCTGTTTGTTTCTGCTGCTTCTTCATGTTGCATATGTCTTCACATATATAATTATCTTAATTGGTGGACATTATATTTGAAAAATTATTTGAAGCTAGGAATAATGTTACTTTCCTTGTGTGAGGATTTGCCTTTGACTTCTTTTCTGCCCCTGAGGACACTTTCTAAGATTATCTTTATATAATTTCGGAGTTTAAGGGGTTTTGTAAGCTACTTAAGAAATAGGAAGTAAATCTGCCATTCATGCGAGAGATGGCTTATTTCAGTATACCTGTGATTGTAGGATGTAGCTCTTTAAGATCCTAGCCCAAAGCACCAGGGTCCTCACAGTTAGGGTGTCCTGCCATTGAATTTTTGTCCCAACCTTTGTGAGTCTGCATTATTATGCAAGTATTCCCAGAGCAAATGTGACCTGAGTTCAGGACTACTTTTCTTTGCCAAGTTCTTATCTTGCAAATTACTTATTATCTTGTTTGCTTTTTGATGCTTTTGAGGTTTTTTTTCTTTTAGTTGGTATTATGATTTTTTTTACTCAGTTTTTAAAGTAATCATTAGTGAGAAAGTTATTCTGAGTCACCTGGTATTGCTATTTCCAGAAGTAGGAATACCTCTTTTATGGTTTTTACATGTAGTTTTGCTATACTGTATCTACTATTTGATTTTAGAGAGACTCTATACCTGTGCTATCCAATGTGGTAGTTCCAAGTCACATGGGGCTGGTGAACACTTAAAATGTTGCTAGTTTGTGTTAAGATGTGTTGTGAATATAAAATATATATATACCCAATTTCTAAGATTGACTACAAATAAAAGAATATACAATGCTCAATTCATAATTTTATATTGATTGCATGTTGAAATAATATTTCAGATACATTGGGTTAAATAACAGTATTAAAATTAATTTCAGCTCTTCTTTTTCTGATGTGATTATTAAAGAAATTATATCATGTGTTTTGCATTATATTTCTGTTGCCTAGTATTATCAAATAGTAAAATTGTGAAGGATACAAGATCCTTGGCCTGGATTTGATTTCTAATTGTATCCTTTACTAGCAGTATGGTCCTGGGTTACATTTTTTACTTCTTGCTTTAATTTTCTCTTCCGTAAGGTCATAATAATGGCAATAACCATTTTAAAGATACATTGTGAAGGTTAACCACTTGGCATAATGGATAGCTTACAGTAAGTATTGACAAAAATATATCATTAGTTATGTTTTTTTATATTATTATTATTATATTTGTTACTGTAGGATCAGATTTTATACTTAAGTGAGCATTGTCTTTCCCTTAATTTTTTCCCTTCACACATAGTAATAGTTTTTAGCTGGATATGATAATTTCCCTGTTGACACAGACATATGTACAAGTCCCTTAGGACAGGAAGAATATGTCACAGGTTCACCCATAGTAATAGAATTCTTAGCTGGATAGTAGAATTTACCTGGAGACACAGACATATGTATAAGTTCTTTAATAGAGGACAAATATGTGACAGGTAAATGCTCATTGGGTTTGTCTGCAGGAAAACTTCAGTGTTTCTTCAAGATGATATTGCCTAGCTAGGTATGGTGACACACACCTGTAATCCCAGAGACTGGGAATGCTGAGCAAGAGGATCGCAAGTTTGAGGCCAGCCTTAGAAATTTAATGAGGACCTGATCAGCTTAGTGAGACCCTGTCTCAAAATAAAAAATAAAATTAAAAAAGGGCTGGGAATGTGGCTCAGTGGAAAAGCACTTCTGAGTTCAATTCAAGGTACCAAAAAAAAAAAAAAAAAAGATAACATTGCCTAAAATATTTCTATAGACTATGTGGCAACTATATAACCAAGGTTTACAATTATATTCCAGAAAGGAGTCACTTAGTCGGGAGGTGGTAATGTGTTGGAAACAATATTGTTCTAGGACTTCAGACGTGGTCTGCAGTCCTAATTCTGCTGTTTAGACTTGTTTCCTTCTTGTGAAATAAATCATCAAGATGAACTTAAGGTGGCCATAAAGTTATATAATTTTGATATATTAATGCCTGTAAATAATAGGTTTTGAATATACAATCTAATTATCTCAAGGTTTTCTAGCTCATACTGAATGGTAAGAGAATGAACATAAGGTTGGAGGAAGTATAGGATAATGGTAGGTTAGAAGCATTAGACCACCAATATTATGGAATATTGGTGTAATTGTTGGTATAACTATTGATCAGGAGGGATGCCCATGATGATATTGTCAAGTTGGGGTGTGGATGACAAGTTATGGATTGTTATACCTAATATTATCCATTTTTTTAATGAGGAGAGAAGGCCTATGTATGCTAAATGTGTGCATGAGCCATGAGAAATACATGGTAGGATTGGGTTAAGAAAAGAGATGGGATTAATGAAATGGGAAAATAAGTTTTTCTTTAGATGGTTCTGTAGTGTTTGACTTATTTTGAAGAGCATTAATTACCTTTGTAGAATAGTCACATTTAATGATGGAAAACTGCTAAATAATTCAAAGTGTGAGAATGTGGGTTCTAAAGATGCTATATATGGAAAATAGGAAAGAATTATGGCACACCTTCTGTTGTAGAGAATATGTAATCATTTCCATTCACAATCATTGTAACAAAGTACTTATGAAAACAAATGTTTTATACTCAAAGCCAGTGGCATTAGTGATTTTTTTTTCTTTTATAGCAACTGCGCTCCAATATCCGAGAAATGGAGAAACTTTGCTTGAAAGTCCGAAAGGATGACCTACTACTTCTGAAGAGAATGATAGATCCTGTTAAAGAAGAAGCATCAGCAGCAACAGCAGAATTTCTCCAACTCCATTTGGAATCTGTCGAAGAACTTAAGAAACAACTTAATGATGAAGAAACCTTATTACATCCTCCTTTGACCAGATCTCTGACTGTTGGTGGTAATGTATTACACTGAGTCTTATTCTTGGTCACAGCAATGCAGTTAATTAAAGCTCACCTCCTTGCATAGAGATTGCTGATTATCTGTATGTCTCCAGGGGTTATCTGCTTTACCAATATGTTGAATTCTTGAACCCTGAGTGAGCTGGAAATGTGTATGCTGAAAAATTTGCAGGATAAATTGCTATATGAAGTGGAATCTCAGAGCTTCAAATGCCTATTTGCCTATATATTGAAAAGAAATGTAAAATATTTCCTAAGGATATGTCACCCTTATCCGCAGCATGTTCCTCACTTCTCTCCAGTGGAAAGGTGACTTCTTCAGGCATGTTTTTTGTCCTTAAGTAGACTGGTTTTCACAGGAGATATTACATCTACCTCCCAGCTCAGTTCTCTGAATTTAACTAATAACAAAATATTTGCAGTGGATGACATGCCATCAACTTTTGTGAAGTGATACTCTGTGAAACTTGTCCCATTTTTTCTAAGGATCTAGTTGATAATCATTGACCACTTTATAACAGTGTCTTTAACCCTGAAAAAATTCTTGTTTTGATCCACAGTAGTGCTTCAAAGTTGTTGATTTTTTTTGTTTGTTTTTTATATTCTGATTATTGAATGGAGTAACTGATAAGGCTTCCCTACTTGAGTTATTTACTATAGAGTTTAAAGCCAAATTTCTTAATCACCAAAAGTTAAATTTTTAAAGTATCCTGGCTTTATTTTATAATTGCTGCCTTTGTTTTCTACTTTTTTTGTTTTGTTGTTTAGCTTTTATTTATTATTTATTCCATCTTATGTATCATAAGATGCCTTTAGTCCTTATGAAAAAAGTAAAATATAAATAGGTACAAATTAGAATAGAATCTTGAGCAAGTTATGCCTTCCAGTTTTTCTTTATTTTTATTTACTCCTACACCACTCCCTGTCTCCAAACCCAGATTATTTTTAATTTTATATTTTCAGTACTAATGATTCAGTAATTACAGGGGAATAAAAATATTGTAAGAAATATTTAGGCTACTATTCCGAGTTTCTGGGTAATCTTGTTTTATTGTATCCTTAGAATCTAGCACAATGTTTTACACATAGTGAACCATTTATAATGTTTTATAAATACATAAATAAGTATCTTTTTAGAGACAATTTTGTAATTTCATATGTGTTACAATCACGTCACTTTGGGAATAACCAGTGCCTAAAATGTTTTGAGAAGGAGATGTTTACACTCAATCCTTGTTTGAAGATTATTTGAGAATCATGTTTTAATAGTTTATAGTTACAGTTTTCATTTCCGTTCATCTGGAGTTATCACTGCCATGTTGGTGAGGAAGAAGGATGTTATCATTTAGCACAAACTGATGCTTTATGTGCATATGTACAGAAACTGGGCTTTATAGTTCCATTTGATTAAGGGGCCATCTTATGTACCCAGACAGTGTGACAGTTGTGATGGCAGTAATAACAGTGAAGATAAGCTGAATATTCTGGAAAGAGTTGCTGGCATCAATCTCTTTTGCTATTTAGCATTGAAATGCCCATCCCCAGCAATTTCCTGTCAAGAGAAATTTTGAGTTCTGCAAGTTTTCTCATGATATATTAATAATCTAATGCTTTCCTCAATTTACATTTTATTATTGCATTGTTTGCATTGCTACCAGTAGTAGAACTGTTTGTGCTCAACAAACTTAGATTTATGTATCATCAGAGGAATTGTGTAATTATTAGAGGAAGTTATTTTATCCAGTTTGCTGGTAATTAGCTTTTTCCATAAGAAGCAGACTGGTATAAAAACTAAGATTGGCAGAATTTGAGGAAGTATGTATAGAGAGGGAATGAAAAAGATGAGGATAGAGCCAGAGGATAAGGGAGAAGAAATAGCAGGCAAAATTCATTTTCCAACTCTATTGATTTTCCAACTTCTCAATTCATTCATAGGATACCAAATAGGCTAAATATCTAATTACTTGCTACTGGAAGAAAGCTAGAAAATTAAATCTCTGAAACTAGTGTTGCTTTGATTAAGACAATCATTCTACTTATAAAATCACATACCTAAAGTAAACCTAAAACAGCATGTAGAATTTCGAATTCTGAAGAATCTCCTGGTCAGATTATACTTTGACTATGAATTCACTGCCAACATAAAGCAGTTAAAATTATTGTCTCACCAAGTGCCTGAGTATTTTACCAAGTGTAAGTTTCTACTAGATTGCCTTAAATAAAAAAAAAATTATTAGCAAATAACGGGATGAGAAAAGAGAAGAATAATGAAAAGAATTCAAGTAACTGATTTACGTTACACTTTAATAGTAGGGTAGGAACTGGGTTTGCTCCATATGTGGTCTTCTTCTAACTATAGACTCTTTTCTGTCATTCTGTATGTTTTTATCCTGTGTTCTCTGGGTTTTCCTTATTTTTACTTTAGATACTCATTATAGTAGTGACAGCCTATATAGAAAAATATGTTTTATTTGCATAGAAGTGCCTTAAAATACTTTTTCCTTTACAAGTCTGATTCTAAATAAATTGGTTGGAAACATCAGCAGAGATTCAGGAGCAATGTTGCCACATTTCCATGAGTGAGATAAAAAAAAAAATGCAAAAATAGTTTTTCATTTACAGATAGAAATAACAAGTAGAATAGGACGTTTTATGTTCTCTGGAGAATAAAAGAAGCTTATTAAGTTTAGGGGGAAGTTATGATGATTTTGCTGTTTCTTTTGTCCAGATTCTAAGAATTCCTGAAGTAAATCTTCTCTGCCAATCTTGGTTGATCTGAGAAACTCCCTTCTGTCTCACTTGTGTGTCTAGTTTCATTTTTAGCATACTGTTTCCCACCAAGAGAAATGATGAGCCCACAAATCTGATTTGTATTTAGAAAGGTGATTCAAGCCATACAGACTGAATCAGTGCTTCTCTTCATTTTTTGTCTTTCTTTACTCCAAGCCAGGACGCACACTTCAACAGCACAGTAGGAACAGAATCTTATTACATTTTAAACAAATAGTCACAAAAGAATCCAATCTTAAAGCTGCTGGGAACTTCAGACCAGTATATTGAATTTGGTGAAATATTAGATTTTTATCTCAGATATATATATATATATAAACATGTTTGTGAAACATGTAGATGGTTTTGTATTATATTATTTCAGAAGATATATTTTCTATTGGTTTTAATTTTCTTTTTTTAATTGTTTGCAGTACAGGGGAGTGAACCCAGGCTACTGTACCATTGACCTATATCTCCAGCCCTTTCTAGTTTTTATTTTGAGATAGGGACTTACTAAGTTGCCAAGGTTGGCCTTGAACTTGTGATCCTCCTACTTCAGCTTCCCGAGTAGCTGGGAGTACAAGCGTGCTCTACTGCAGCCAGCTGGTTTTAATTTTATTAATAGTTTTTCTTTACAGTTAAGTTAAGCTATGGCTTAAAAGTAATTTTATTTTCATAGATGGGTTTATATAAATTATCAGCAAATTAATTCACTCTTTTAAACCATCAAAACTTGAAAGAAATTAAGGAATATTTTTTTTTCCCCCTCTCTCTCTCTCTCTCTTTTTTAACCAAGGAGTTAACCCAGGGGCACTTTACCACTGAGCCACATTCCCAGGCCTTTTTATTTTTATTTATTTTTATTTTTTAGACAGGGTTTCACTAAATTGCTCAGGGCCTTACTAAGTTGCTGAGGCTGGCCTCAAACTTGTGGTCATCCTGCCTCATCCTCCTGAGTCACTGGAGCTGTGTGCCACCATGCTTGGCATGCTTATTAATTAATCTACATTTTAGTGAAACATTTCCTAATATAGTGAAGTTTTGTGGAAATTTCATGTTTTGTGTTGTAATTTTAGCAGGAACAGTGCTATTTGCAAAGTATAGAAAAAGAGAGAGGGAGAGAATATTTGAATATGTATAAAAGGGGAAAGAAAAATCTTATAGCCAGGCTATTTAACTTATCTCTCACTTCAACTAAAGTGAGTCAACTGTCTTCATGTTTATTTGAACTTATAGCAAATAATAACGCTTTAACTCCAAGTCTGAGAAACAGGGTGAGTGATACACACATGCTTGTCCTTTATGCAAGTTGTTTGCACATGGGCGGGACTATCTGAGATTGTTATATAATGTGAAACAATTACAGTTTTTTACTTCTGTGAACAAGTTCAAGTTCTTTGGTGTTCTTTCCTGTAGCTATAATCTCAGTGTTTTGCCTCAGCATATCCATAGACATTTGCAAGAGTTCAAAGTCAAAGAATGATTGCTGAGGTACAAGTTGAAATTGAATGATGGGAGTTGTAGAAATTAAAAGGTTTGCTTTCTTAATTGATAGTCATGCCTCGAATTGATTAGTGATGTTCAGAGTTGTAAGTTTACAGCAGGGTTTTCTATGGCAGAGAATAGAGTTCTTTGTTCTAAGATTCTATTTGAACTAAGATGCATACGCAATTTGGTTTCAAGTGAGACGGAAATGACTTAAACATTTCTTGTTTTTTTACTAAGGGAAATCTTTTATGATTTATTTAAATGTCAAACATTTCTCATCCCTTATTTTTTAGATAAAGAATTTACATATGATTGTGTGTGTGTGTGTGTGTGTGTATACATCCTAACATACTCCATTTGAATCTTTTTTAATAGTACATAGGTTATAGCTTTAAAAATCTTTAGAATAGGCAAGGTCATAAAGTTTTGCTTTGCATTCGGTCTGATAATGATAATGAAGTTATCATTGTTCACCAATATGTAAGAATGTTAAGTAGAAGAAAGGTCATAGGGTAATGCATTTATCTTGGTTGAAGTGAAAATGAAAGTGTCTTAATGGTGATAACCTAAGGTATTAAGTAAATATTTTAAGCATTTATACAACTCAATGAGAGCTTTTAAAGTATTGGATATTTGTCATAATGTTGTAATGTAAAATTTGCTTTGTATCTGATGTTTCTGCTCTTTCTTTAATATTTTCAAATAAGTTCAAAATTAAAAGAACACTGTCAATCCTGATAAACCTACAAATTACTTTTCAGTCTACTGACTATGTCCTTTTTATGCAGTTCAAATCAGTTTTTATTGAGAGGTAAAGTGTTCATAAATTTGAAGATAACTGTAGTAATGCAGTTTTATGGGATATCATTCAGTTACAGGTTTTGAAAAAAGGAAACAAAAGAAATATGGGCTGACTTTTAAAAGTAGATCAGGTCACATGTCATCATGTCATTTCAAAATCTGCTTTTAACCTTCAGCAAGTCTCTGTTGTCTGCCAGATAAAGTCTAGAGTCTTTACCTGGTCAACAAGGTCCCTCCTGATCATCTATAATGTCTTATTCTTGTAACTTGTGTCTTTTATTTCATGTTTTGTTAACACTAAACTGCTAATTTTACATTAGCTATATTGTTTCTTTCTTGAGGGCCTTTGTTCAATCAAGTTTCTCTATCTAGAATTTATATTCCTCTCTTTTTCAACCAGTAGTATCAACTTTTCTAGGAAGCTTTCCCTCTTCATACCACATCAAGCTGGATCAGATGCCACCCCCATCTTGGAATGCCCATAAAATGTACATGTCTTCTGTTCATCTGAATAGAGAGATATCATGAACTTTCCCATTGTTTTATGATTATCTCTTTGCATGTCTGACTTTTCTAGAATATAAGTTCTTTGAGAGTAGTCATAGTGATTTATTTACTTTTCCATCCCTGGTACCAAACACAATACCTAATGGATGGCCAGAAAATGTTAACATGGTAGGTATTTTGAGCTTGAAGTAAAGAGGAAAAAATAAAATTTCAGGTTTCTTCTTTCCATTTCTACTGTCTTTATTCTAGAGCTGCAAGTATTGCACTGGACATATTGGAAGGCCTTCCAACTGGTTTTTCACTTTTATTTCTTCACCTTTCAACTCCATCCTTAATGTATTCTTCACACTGTAGCTTTAGCTTCCTTTTAAAATCTAAAATCTGATGGTAGTAACTTCCCACTTCCCAGTGGTCTCCAACTTCTTTTCACGATTCCATAGTGATCTTGTGAGAAAGACGAAACTCTTTAACATGATTACAATGCCGTGAATACCCTCAGCTTGGCACGTGGCCTCAATCTTTGCTTTTCTCTTTTCAGTCTATGTATCAGCTACACGGATCCTCTTTTAGCTCCAAATCCTGTTTTGCTTTGTTTTTTTTTTTTCCCTGACCTAAATAGTTTTTGCATCTTCCTGCACCTTTACCACAGTTCACCTCTATTATTCCTTTGTCCTTGGGCTTCAGCCTCAGAGCTTTCTCTGACCACTCTCCTGACTAAAAGGCTGTGGGCTTCTACTGGGCTCACGTAGCACTCTGCAGAAACCTACATCATAGTTCTTACAAACTATCCTGAATGCACTTTACTGTTAACTGGTCTGTCACACATTTTATGGTAAGCTGTACTAATAATAGCAGTAATAACAGTGGTAGTAGTAGCAACTATTTATTGAGGACTTGCTTTTATATATAAGACAGGTGCTATGCAAAGTACAGTCACCTTATTTTACAAATGAGAAAAATAAGCCAGAAATGAAATACCTTCTCAAGTCAGAGAGCTAGTACATAGCCAAACCAAGATTCTAACCCAAGTCTTTCTGACTAGACCCATCCTCCTAACAGCCACAGAATGTTGCCTCTTAAGAACTTTTTTTTTGGGGGGGGAGGGGGTAAGTGGGATACAGGGGTTAAACCAGGGATGCCTTACCACTGAATTACATCCCCAACCCTTTTTAATTTATATTTTGAGACAGGGTCTCACTAAGTTGCTGAGGCTGGCCTTGAACTTCTGAACCTCCTGCCTCAGTTTCCTGAGTTGCTGGGATTACAGGTGTGCACTGCTGTGCCAGAATCTCAGAATTGTTTTTATAGTGTCCCCAGCACTGTGACATACTGACTGGGCTATAGAGAGCATGTAATGAATGTCAAATGAATGAATGGAAGATTGGTGAAACCAATATGAGGAAATACAAAACACTTGAAGATGAGTTTTTACTGTAAATTAATTTATCAATAAAGCGGTGTTAAATAAGCAAAGTGTTAGTGGGTTGAAGGCTTTTTAAAACTCAGAAAAGAAATAAGGGAAACAGTGGAGTAATGAACCAGAAGAATGACTGTAAGGAAACAGTGACAATATGTACAAAAATGTTCTTTTGGGGACAAACTCATTGTCATCAGTAGATGCAATACTGGGGATCAAACCCTGGCCTTATGTGTGCTAGGCAAGTACTCCACCACTGAGCTACATCTTCACCCCTGCTTTTATTACCTTGTATATCTGATATTTATTACTAAATTAACCAATAAAAGGTTACAAATTTAGCAGTGAAACATTGGGGGTGTCTCCTCATGGAATATTGGCCAAATAGATTAGTTTCCTTTTGCTGGCTCTTCTGTACTTATTTTTAATTATTCAGATTGGATAGATGGTATTTGTAGCCATTTTGTAGATGTCTTTCTAGATAGAGAAAAAAAAATGTGTGTTAACTAACCAAGGGAACAAGCTGCCCAAGGATGAATAATTCTGTTTTCATAGAATAATCAACTTACTATTAGCCTGAATTTAATTTGTGAGCATTTTACATGGCAGTTGTTTATGATATTGATTCATGCTGTGTCCTTGCTGAAAAGCAAATTCCAAACATGAGTCTGTGTTCATCCAGGAGCATTTCACAATTCTGAAGATGAAGCTAGTTCTCAGAGTTTGACTCAGATATACGCATTACCTGAAATTCCTCGAGATCAAAATGCTGCAGAATCATGGGAAACTTTAGAAGCGGTATGTTAAAAGTTATTTTTTTCTTGGTAACTGTGAGGCATAAAAATAAGTAACTTTCTCTCTCTCTCTTTTTAAGGACTTAATTGAACTTAGTCAACTGGTTACTGATTTCTCTCTCCTAGTGAATGTAAGTATATAACTGTTTTTGGTTCTGAATTGGTAGGGTATTAGAATTAGAGACTTTGATTATTCACTGTGCTCCTGATTAGAATTTTAAGAAAAATTATAATTTTTAAGACTGGTATGGAGCCTCAAATTCCAGTTCTATTTAATAATGTGAATAAAGGCACTTTGTTAGATACTCAGTACTGGGGAATCTGACAATGTTGAATATAGAAATAAATGAAACCCATTGTCTGCTTTTGGGGATTCTGCAGTGGATGGAGATAAACTTTGAACCCCCCAAACTGAGCTTTTGAGCATAATGACTAAATGCAAAAATAAGATATGAAGAGAAGTATCATCTATTCCAAGATGCAGCATTGAATTCCAAGGGAGGGAAGCACGTTTATAAGGTGGAAGCACGAAGCATAGCTTCACCAAGGCACGTGCATTCTCATGAGCCTTCAGAAATTTGGAAATGATCCAGGGGGGTATAAGGGAGCACCTTTCAAACAGCTGAACAAAGACAAGGTGTTGAGAAGCACATGGCCTGTCCGGGAGTACTAAATATTGCAAACTAAAGCATGAGGTATAGTGGGCAGGCAATGAGAGTGAGGGCCAACTATGATGGAACTATATGCCATACCAAAGAATTTGAGCTTTACTTTATAGGTACTACAGAGTCACTGCATATTTCTGAGCAGGTTAGTTGTAATCCATGATCTGTGCTTTAGAAAGGCCTGTGCTTTAGAAAGGCCACTGTTACCTGGGTAAAGAATGGTGCTTTAGAAAGGCCTGTGCTTTAGAAAGGCCACTGTTACCTGGGTAAAGAATGGTGGAAGAAAGCATCAGACATAACTTTCCTATGTTCATATGTGAATATGCCACTAGTGAAACTCCACATCATGTACAACCTCAAGAATGGGATCCTAATTAGAATAAGTTATACTCCATGTATATATAATATGTCAAAATACACTCTATTGTCATGTATATCTAAAAAAGACAAAATGGAAAAAGAAAAGAGAGAATGAGGTCATGGGCAGGAATGACTAGTTAAGAATCAGCTGTAGGAGTTTAACTTGGAGCAGTGGCAACAATAGTGGGAGGTATTTCTAGGAAGACTAAGCAGAAATTGGAGGAAGATAGAGTCAAAGATAAGGAATATTATGGCATTATTCTGCGTAATCAAGCCCCAGTAATGCTGTTAACAGATTTGGGAGCATAAGGTAGTTTTGGGGGGAAAATAGGTTTTCTATCATTATTTTTCTAAACTTTTCTAAAGAAACATTATTTTTCTTATAGTTTCCTTGCTAGGAATTTTGGGAATTTAGAATACATGAGTAGGTGTGTTATATATGTATGTCCACAAAGGCACTAGTCTGTTTCTCCTTCTGTCTAGGTTTAATTTTAAATTTTTGATCAAATCATGATTTGGGGGTTGTCCTTCTTCTAAGTAGGGTTTCCCTAGGCTTTAAGTGCCTAAATAATACAACCTCAGAATTGGAATGGGAGGAAATTAAGGCCAACTAATCTAACACCACTACTCTCATCCCAACTTCTCAAAGGGTCTTTTAGCTCCTTTTTGCATAATTACAGTGCAGGCATACTTGATGTTTCTACCATGCCATGTGGAGGTGTGGAGTCAGAAGGTCTTCCATGTGTAAGCTCTGCTCTATGATAACTACTTTTTGGTACGTTTACCATCTAGAGCCAGATACCAAGCCACTGGACTTTTTTTCATATAAAAGATTTTCTAGGTTGTAAGACCTGTATCACTTTCCTCTCCCAACCCCACCCCACCATATATTCACTTCTTAAGAATCCATTCATTTGTGTTCCTTTTGCAATATGACTTTCCAGTTTCACCCCTTATTCTGCTTATATCCTAGTTTATGGATATTTGCTTGAAATGTAATGACTAAAATTAAATGCAATAAATCATTTGAATTATTTCTGATGCCTTTAAGTCAGAAGAAACAAAATGCTGGAAGTCTCTGGATTAGGTATCTGTATAATCTAATAATATATTTACATACAGCAGGGAATCCCCAAAAATATGTTGGTTAGAATCAAAATTTATTCAATTATTGTAACTAATAATTTCTGAATCTAATGCAGTTTATAAAATTTATACATTTGCCAAAGCCATCAGCCTGTACATTTAAACTATGTGTTTTAATGTATGTAAATTATACCTCAATCAAGTTGATTTAAAAAACAAAGGAAACATGTACAGAGTTCTTCTCACTCCAGACAAATACATTTCCTTTCTAATGGGGTAGGCACATGAAAGAAAAATGAAAGTTTGTAGCCATCTAACAGTTACATTAAACAGTTATGTTTAATTGTGTTACATAAGCAGCTCCTCACCCCAGCCCAAGGAAGATTTATGCAGGAAGACTCTGGCTGTAGCCATCTATAGCCATAGCTCTATACAAATGTCCTATTTATAATAATGTGTACAAGGACATGAGCAGAATGCTATTTGGCAAAAGCTCAAAGGAGAACCCCTGATTATTATTCCCAGAGTGACTGAGTTCTCATGACCACATGGCCAAAGATTCACAGAAGCTCCATTTAGGTACAGAATGACCTGGGAACATAACCAAAGTGACCACATCCTCTTGTTATCGTCACATGGACATGATAGTATCTAGGCAAATTAATCACGTACTTAAGGAACACTTTCTGTGTACATAGTACTATGGTTAGCTCAATGAAGAATAGAGAATAGTATAAAAAGAACCTACAGGATAGTGGTAATGGTTGTACGACATTATGAATGTACTTAATGCCACTAAATTGTATAGTTAAAATGGTAAATTTATGTTATTTGTACTTGAGCACAACACAGAGGACCTACAAAGCCATTGAGGGATGAAAGCATGGTTGGTCCTGTTAATTTTAACAAATTAATATCTACTAGGTGCCCTGCTTCATTTGCCCTGCTTCATTCACCTTTACTGCCTTTTCTTGTAACCAGCCCTATTTCTACTCAAGGAGAATTTAAAGAACTCCAGGCCGGTAGCTTGACAGCATGTCATCCTTGCTGCTGATACTGTTTTGACTTCTACCTTTTACCTTATTCCCTACAGCTTTTGAAGTGCAATTTTACTCTGGATACACAAAACTGTGGATTAGATTAGATTCCTCCATTTATTACCTACCTATATGATCTTCAAGATATTATTGGGCAACAATTGGCGTTATAAAACCAGTGGGAGGACTAAATGAGATGATGTTTATTACTTCCCATCCTTTTCCCTTTCCCCTGACCTCACCTGCATTTCTGCATTTGTCCTTCCCTTGGATCCCTTGGCCCCATCCATAAATTCTACTTTTGTATCAACATTATCTTCAGACATTTTAGTACTAGAGTTCCTTTAGTCCCTTGTCCACTGCTGAATCCCCCTATGTCAGTGTCCTCCTTCTCTACTCTGCTTATCTCCTATTCTAGGCCAATATGATCTTGTGCTCTGCCTGAATATCATAGTGCTGATATGTGTGTTTCTGAGCTTCTCTGTGTATTTTATGATTGATTGCATATGAATAAATATGGAACTTAGGAATAAAGGAAAGTACTGGAGTCTTCTTAAAAAAAACTCATAGTTTTCCAAGCACACTAATAAAATTGCACAACTAATTCTCCAAGGAAGAGCATTATTATTGATGTAAATGGATTTGTTGAATGTATTACTATTATTTGATATAGAGGATGCTGGGCTTACAAGTACTCATAATAAGCATTAAAGGAAAAAATAATTCCTTGTTAGTTTTTAATTCATCTGCCCAAATTGCATTTTTCTTTTAAAGTATTAATTTGATAAATCACATTTGCTTCAGAATCTTAGGAGCCCCTATTATTCATCAAGATTCAGTTATTTTCAGGCCAGTGGGAGATGAAAGTCAGTGTTCCTTAAAATGAAATCCATGGACATACTCTCGGAGTTTTGAGATTTTTTTTTCTTTACAAGGGAATCTATACACTACTCTAATTTGAGAAGCACTGCAGTGTCCCTCATAAATGGCTTAGCTCATTGTTAAAGGAATGCTGAGAACACTTTTAAGTGCCAAAGAATAAAATACCAGGCAGGGGTTTGAAGTTTGACAGATGTGGGAGGCCTAGGTGGATGAAGACAAACATAGAGCACATCCGAAGCTAAGAGGGGGAGTTGGCGGATAGAATGAGAAGGACCCGAGCTGCCATAGGAGCTTGGCTTTCTAGGCTGGGGTAGGTTGTGTGTGGCTGGTGTGTCTGTGGCCCAGCATAAAGAGCCACAGATACAGTGGAGAAATGTGCCCAGATTCAGCTCTGAATGGAGTCTAGTTTGGCATTCTACTGATAGTGACTGACAACTCTGTGATACCATTTTGATGCTAAACTGTAATCATTGTGAGTGCCATTGAGTCTATTTATGAAGCAGAATCTGAAGATATGGGCCGTTTGAGGATTCAAACCAAGTAAGGTAGGGGAAGAGGAAGGTAGAGCCACACAATTAAAGGATGCCTGCTGATCCCAGATTTTCTACTCTCTGCCTTATCTCCCCTCCCCCAGATTTATTCGGTCTTCTGGGGCCAGTGAATAGAACTTGCAGATGTGGGCTACTCCAGGGCAAGACAGGCCTCACCATTGCTGGGGATTACAGACATAGAGGGTGTGTGTAATAGTTCAAATAATTGGTAATCCTAGGATTGACTTTTTTTTCTTCTAGTCTTTTCTCAATTTATTCCAAAGGATTTTCATTTAAAAATATTAAAATGATATTTAAAATTTCACTTTAACTTAAAAAGTTATAAGGTTGCAATACCCTTAAAATATCCTAAAAAGGAGCATTAGAAGTATTTCCCTGAGGCCTTGAGATCACACTTGGAGATGGAAATGGCAATAATCCTGGTAGGCTCCTCCCTCTGGCCAAAAATTATTTGCGGCTGTGGGGAAGGAAGAACATGGGCTATTGTTCTTCTACCCTCAACTCATCAAGATGCAAAGGTTGGTGACAGGATTTTACCCCTGTGATTTATCTGCTAGCATAGACTCTTTCAGGCAGGAGTAGGGGGTGCTGGAGTGTCCCAAACAGAAACAGTGCTAGGGCGTCAGAAATGCAGGCAAGATGGATATTAGCACTGGCTAATATCCATTGCTTCTAAGAATCAGAAAAAGAAAGCTGACTTTTAAAAGTTTTACTGTCTGAGAAAAACAAAAAGCCAACAAGTGAATGCTAGGAGAGATCTAATGTTTGCCCTAGAATTTTCAAGCATCATAGGAAAAAGCTCGATATATTTTTTGGTAGGAAAATGAGAGTGAACACTTATCTTGGGAAGGTCAGGATGAATTCTTCGATTCTTCTCCTCGTGCTTTGAAGACATCTCATGTTATTCTCCTTCGTCTCCATGAGGTATAAATAGCATTATCTTCATTTGATAGCTGAGAGTACTGACACATAGCCGGAGAAATTTGTCCAAAGGTGTATGTTGAGAATTTGAACACAGAATATCTGACCAGAGGTTATGCCCTTATTCTTATCATATGTACTACTGACTTTTAAAGTTTGAGAATCAGCAGCATGAGCTTCATCCAGGAACTTATTTGAAACATAAATTCTCAGTTCTACCCCAGGCCTGCTGGGAGTGGGGCCCAGCAATCTGTGTTTAAAGAAGCCCCACAGGTGATTTTGTGGCCCACTTAGTTTAAGAACTGTTCTTGTACTTGTCTCTGACTGAGACAAAGAAAACTGAAAAAGGACTTTTTAAGGGATTGTACTGTGGTATCAAGATAGTGGTGGAGAATCCTATAATGAAAAGATACCACAAAAGGCCCAACAATAAAAGGTACATACTGGGAAGGGACGGAATATCAATAATGCTAATAGGAGACAACGATGGGAAAAATTAGCCGTGTTGTTTGTTCACAAGTGAAGTGTTGATTGGAATTAGGAGAGTGTTATTTATGTCTCCCTCAGTATAAGTGAGCAGGTCAGTTATATAAGGGCAATCAAATACTTCAGGATTCAAGCTGAATTATTTCATGCTCATTGTAGAAGGCATTTATCTGGAATCAAAGAGGGATTCTCTCTCTTTTTTTCCTGCAAATTACAAAAATAATCTCCATGCTAATTGTGATGGTGGTTAGTTGCATGGGTGATTATAGGGGTTTATCATTTGTCAGAGTTCATCATACTGCACCGATAAAATGAGTACACATCATTCTATGTAAATTTGAATAAGTTGATTTTAAAATAAGCATGTGTTCCTGCGAGGGATCTGTTCTTATCCCTGGAGGTGTTAGGGCAGAGGCCCAGTGACCTCTTGTCAAAAGCACTGTTGTGGGGTTTCACACTTCAGAGAGGAAAATACTCTCCATTACCTCAGCATTCCTGCCCCAGGGCCACAGCCACAGTTGCTGTTGTGTCAGCACAGGTGTTGCTATTTAATATATTTTATTAATATATTCAACCTGAAATAGTTTAACTCATCATGATTTTTTAATGTTTGAAGTTTGGCTACAGGTGTGAAACCCAGGATGATAGGTTCATTCACTGCTCCCTCCTGAATAGCCCAAGTGGAAAGATGTCATTGTAGATCAAATCATATCATAGCCTTATTCCTAAAACTTAACACTTTTTATATTTATTGGATGAAGGGCATTTTATTTCTAAATTTGCCTGATTTAAACAGAATCTTCAAAGAAGATAGATTAGGGAGGAGTTTTCTTGTTTGATTTTGTTTTTCTCCCATCAAACCCAACATAACATATAAATGCTTATTTGGATTTTTTTTTTCCTCCTGGAAAGTGGATTCATTTGAACAATAATATGTTTGTATGTTTGAATGAATTTCAGTGTGAGATGCTTTTTGCTATGAAGGTGCCACCCTTTTATTACCCAATAATTAAGTCCCCCTCTTTTTTTCATGAAAGTGAATTTGTGCTTTCGACATGGTTTATCAGATGCTATTAATGAACCGCTATTAAGACTGCAAGGCTGCAGTACCCGGGGCCCTGATTACAGGAATTAAAATAGTGTGTGTTGGCGTCCCACCGCTCCCCAGCAGGAGCGCTCACTCATAATTCCTTTGCATCTAGTCTCAGCAGGAGAAGATTGACAGCATTGCAGACCATGTCAACAGTGCTGCTGTGAATGTTGAAGAGGGAACCAAAAACTTGGGGAAGGTAAGATTCTGCTCCTGCTGACAAATCAATGGTACTCTGGCTCCCAGGAATCTCTAGTATTAACCCAATTGATCTGCTCTCTTCAGTGTTGAGGGAACCAGCAATTAAGGAAATAAGGAAGAAATGACACATAGGTAGTGCAAGAAATCAATGGTTGTAATATTCTACTCGAAGATTCGTTCTATTAGGAAAGAAAATTTCTTTTTTCAAAGAGAATAAACAGTAGGCCGAGTATAAGGCATTTGGTGTCATGAGGGAATGAATGTCTGCAGAGGTCCAGGGAGAGCAGGGGGCAGGAGCAAGAATCAAAAGTGTAAGGACGTGACCGCATGCATGGATTGGGATCATCTATTTTCCATAAGATGTGGATTTGAATACCCAGGTTTATAGTATAGAATAATCGCTGTGCATCATAAAAAAATTGGTTATGTAATCTGTGGCTGTGGAAACTATTTAAATAAGCCAACTAGTTAGTGGATTGATTGTTTTACAAGTAAAATCTACTTGTAGCCCATTTCTCCAAGTCCTGAGATCTGGAGCAATTGTAGTACCTGTGGAATACTTTTTTTCTCCCCCAACACTACAATCTCTAAGGTTAATTTTGTACCAAGAGTTAAAGAAGCATTGCCAGGAGTAATGAGAGGAAAATGCACATCACCACAGGCAGATATTCTCCACTCAATTTCTAAATTGAATTTATTTTTATTTATTTATTTTTTTTTTACAGGCTGCAAAATACAAGCTGGCAGCTCTGCCCGTGGCAGGTGCACTCATCGGAGGAGTGGTGGGGGGTCCGATTGGCCTCCTTGCAGGCTTCAAAGTGGCAGGAATTGCAGCTGCACTTGGTGGTGGGGTGTTGGGCTTCACAGGTGGAAAATTGATACAAAGAAGAAAACAGAAAATGATGGAGAAGCTCACTTCCAGCTGTCCAGATCTTCCCAGCCAAAGTGACAAAAAATGCAGCTAAAAACTCAATTTCAGTATTATTGGTGCCAACGTATCTATCCTAACAAGCACCTTGCTGCTGTTGGACACACAGCTTTGGAAATCATGTATCAAGACAGTGGCTCTAGATGCCCAAGTGGAATTGAACCGTATTAAGTGGTTGTATTTTGTTTGCTGGGTGTTGTTGATGTTAGAGATCAAGGAGCCTGGCTCAGAGTGGGTAATGTCAGGTCAAGTTTAAAGATGGCCGAGGTACAAATTTTCTGCCTAGAAATGTGAAAACTGAATCTGTAACGCTGACAAGAACTTAAGATGTATAGAAATGAACTGCAGATCTTAAGGCTAAGTGTATTTGTGGATTATTTAGGCCTGGTATCTAGGAAAAGAATGGGAGTTCAGGAGCCCTGTTTATCAGACAGGGAAGTCAGGGCCTCACAAGGAGCACAGGTGAGCTACATAATGGAGCCCATTCAGTGAACCCAGTTGCAGTTTGATCCAAATATATTTTTCTGGTGAAGGAAATTAATAGGCCACTCCTTCTGTTTTCTTATACTAAGTTCTCTTTAAGATATCTTACTCTGTGACCCTGGCTTCTTTTCTAGGTTCTGCCTTGAGTCTCAAGTGGTAGGAGACTTACCAGCCAGCCACCATGCTCACTCTGTCATCCTCCCCTCACATCTCAAAGAGACCTAGTGCCCTTTGCTGTCAATTCTTCATAATTTTGGAAAAGTCCTTGGTTTATGGGGTGAATTCTACCCATGTATAGTGAAGGTTTTTCTCAGAATCTTTTTTATCATTTCCCATTTTTCATCACCCTGTCCTATAATTTCTTAAGTTTAAAAAAAAGAAAAAAAATTTCCAAGTATTTTGAACATTAACGATGAAAATGAGCAGAGGGGAAAAGAGCAAGGGCCTATCCTGGGGCAGCGTCTCATTCTGAGGAGCTGATGTAGCCGCCACACAGAGGGCTCTGAGCCACCCTTTCTTCAGGTGGCCACTGGAGGACTGAGCCAGCTTTCTACCTCAGTTGTAGCACACTCCTCTTCCCGGCTTTGCTTTCGCCTGTGCGTTCCTTCACTTTCCACAGCTGTTGTTTCCTCCAAAAAGTGGCACTCAGGCTTACCTTTGCCCACATTCTAGAAGATGACAGAGCCCAATGCCAAGGCTCAGACCCAGCAAAGGACTCGTGGTGCTAATGCCAACACAGACAGAACCCCCCCTTTCTGTCTCAAACAGCAAGGAGGTTTTAAATCTAGAAAAGAATGTAAAATTCTAGACAGAGTCACTCTGTACTGTTAACTCAGTTGAAATAGGAGGGAGCTGCCTTCTGCCTTGCCCTTTACTCTTTTCTGAGGACAGAATGGGCACCTGCACCCCAAAAGGTGTCTTTCTAGAAGTCAAAGTTCATCAGGGGGCTGAGTGGTCATCACTTAGCTTCTTTCTTGCTGAGTTTTCCTTTAATAACTTACTGATGTTACCTTTCACCTCTGTGAGAGAGCTTTTTCTTACATACTCTTTGAATCTCAGCAATAAATTCCAGTGGGACAAAGCACCATTTATGATTATCACTAACGAAGCATCAAATGTTATCTATTTACCTGTATCTTTCAAATAATACCAAGAAAGAAATACTTTAAGGGTCAGGTTATGATCCAGTATCAGATATTGGATACCTATAAGGTCGTTTTGAACTCCAACTCTTTTCTATTCTCTGGCCCATCCCTTTAACACCAGCTGTTCAAACCTGAACAGGATCAGTGCTCACCCAAATATTTAAAACAAGCCTTTTTTTTTTTTTTTTTTGGTACTGGGGATTGAATCCAGGGGAACTAAACCACTGAATCACATGCCCACCTTTTTATTTTTTATTTTTGAGACAGGATCTCACTAATTGCTGGGGCTGGCCTCAAACTTTTTAATCTTCTGCCTCGGCTTTCCCAGGAGCTGGGATTACAGGCATGCACCACCACAACCGGCATTAAAACAGGATTCTTAAACTCAGTTGCTGATAGGACCAGTCCAGGTAGTCAGCTAAAATGATAAATGTAGTTAGTTATGTCAAGATTCAGCTGTGTCATTTGATTCTGTAATTTCCAGTATCCCACCCTTCTTCATCACTGCATAGTACTCTACTCTGTCAACCTCAGATTGCCCATGTTTCCTGCATGCCATCTTAGGGGCAGCACTAGGAACTCAAAAGGACCTAAAGGAGAAAGGAGGCCTGTGTTTGTAGCTCACGTTTTGTTCTGGAATTTCTCATTTTTACTGAGCCAGTGTGGTACTCCATTGTACTCACATAAGTCTCTCACTTTTATTGCTGTGATCAGGATTGGAATATTACTCTAACAGTCTTCATGATTTGGCAAGTTAGTCATTTTTTAAAAAGCCTTATTAAAATTATTTAGAAGTTTTATCTCATTTCCCCCCATAATAGAACATAATAGCCAACTTTTTATAGAAATTAATCAACCATAAATGATATACCTATAAAGTGCTTATATGTATAAATAAGTCAGTATGACACAGAAACCAATCTTAAATTTGAATTTAATGCTGTATAGTGTCAGATAAAATTTATCTTCTCTATGATTCAAGTCTTACATTTATTGCACAAGTTAGGAATGCTTTGATTAAGATCTGAACATTTTTAGGGGCTCATTTGAATAAAGACAGCACTTTTAAAGGCTTTTTTGACATAACCTGAACATTTCTCTGTAGAGCAGAGATTGAAACTTTTTGGCTGTAACCCACAGTAAAAAATGCATTTATACCAAAACTCAGCAGAGACATAATGAAACATTATGTGCTGTTATGTACAAGGCATTTTGATGTTGTTTTTAAAATATGCCAGTTGCAACCCACTAAACTTGTTTTATAATATACAATTGGATTGTGACCCTTGATTTGACGCTAACACCCTTTCAGAGAAATTGATGTTTATTGAAAACTCTTTGCCAGGCAGACTCACTAGGCATTTTACAGGGAGGGCAACTGTGCCTTGGAGAAATTAAATACTTTGGAGAGGGTTATTCAGCTACAAAGGGTAAATAAAGCCAGGATGTAAATGTGGTTGGTGAGATACAAAAACTGTTTGATACCTGCCAACCTATGCTACCTCTCTAAATAAAACTGAAATGGGTCACCTGTTTTGCCTCACCCAGACGCCCGTATATTCTGTAAAGCAAGCTTGGAATTGCCTGTGCCATTTATTGGCACCTTTGTTATCCTTAATCTTCTGATCCTCATCAAGTGTCCAGAAGCCTCAAAGTCTTTAATGGTGGCTGTTGCAGAGGTACCCAGCACTGAATTTGGTCCTCAGACTATAAAATTAAGAATGTTTCCATCTCATTCATATAACCTACAAATTACCTTATATTCATAGGTATAATCATTGTTCAAAGTGCTTTTTAGTTTTATAATAAATATTTAAAACAAATATATCATAACTCATAGAAATCAAATGATTATTTTCTTTTAAAGAGATGCCCTTGGAAAGCCACACACTTACTGAAGTGATTCTGTTATTAGGCCATTTTAAAACTTTTCTTTTGGAATTGCCTCCAAAAGGATTTTGCAAACCACATAAGAAAAACCATCTTCATTTTTATTAGTTGTAGGCCATTTGTCCTTGTCCTTGTGGCTCTCCTCTCTTCCTTTCTCATTTTGCTTTTCTTCCACTGGCTTGGCTTCTCCTGTATATGAGCTCGTTACCTAAGGATGCCCAGAATGCGGGTGCGATGCTGCCTACAACTGGCCAGAGGGGCTGGTGCAAGGACTTTGAGGTTATACTGAAATTGGGTGCTAACAGGGAGAATACTAGGAGTCCAGAAACTTCCCTGTGGGCTGCCTGTGCCCGTACGTGCTATAGGTTGTTTGCACACAACTAAGGACTAAATGCTTGTAAAATTGTTCACCAAAGGTTGAGGAAATCAGTGATATAAATATATATAGCACACACTGTTTTTCTCCTGTGAAAGCACAGACACCAAACCATGCTTTGTGTTAACTGTAAAAATGAAAGGTGTTTCTCAGGGTCCCAGCCACCTTCACTGCTTCCACGAGGACTTTTCCAGAGGATGCACGAGAAGCCTGGGATAAAGGTTCTCCTGTGATCTGGGATGTTTTCTCATCAATGTAAAATAAAAGGTGGTTGTGGCTCTCGGATGCTTATGAATGATATAGATGCTGTTCTTAAGTAGTCAGAGGCCTACAAAAAGGGGCACTTACCCTCTGTCCTAGATTAACATAAAACATTCAGGTTGGTTTTTTTTTTAAACACTTTGTTTCTAGAAGGTGGTTCTCATATTTATATTCATTAATTTGACACCCTTGCATAGATAAGCTTCTTGGGTATAGTAGACAAGTAGCGGTAAAGGGTGCACACAGTATCTATATTGCTGCCCTCAAAGAAATTAATTTACTGTGAGAAAAAAATATATTGGTGCAATATTGACAGAATACATAAATTGAAATAAAAACAAAAGGTGTCAGAGGCAAATGACTCGCCCCAAATCATGAAGATAATTTGCACAAGAGCTAGGAGTGCAACTATGGTATAGCCTGCGGGGGTGGGGGGGGATCCTTTGTAATTAAACTAAGTTTTTGTTAACACAATCAGGCTGCCTATTGAGACCTGTGGCCTTTCAGCTCCACTCAACATTGCAGACCAGGCAAAAAGACACCTTCTTTCTCCTGGAGGAAATTACACTCAATTTCTTCACTCTGAACAACAATGTCATTCTTGTCACCTGTGCATCTGCCAGCAGAAGCCTGAGGATTCTTCTTCAGCAGCATAACTACTCCAACCCTGAATGGACAGCTCTCAAGAAAAACTTCACTTATTAGAGAAAAACGTTCAATGGTACATGTTTTTCATACACTTTCCAAGTATTGGAGATTTTCTTAAGATTAATAACTAAGACATTTACTTGGATTTCGTTAGTTAAACCCCCCAAAGATGTTTTCCATTTTTATTGTTAAACCTTTGGTGTTGACAAGGCCAGCACAAGAAAGGCCCAATGGTGAGAATTTCTGCAAACTCTTTTTAATTCTTATTGAATTAATTGGTCATTTATTATGTTGCTGAGTGGTGCCTGAGTAAGAGAATGTTGCAATAAAATTCACTACAAACTTTGAACTTAATTCCTGTTGTGTGTTGAATGCCTGGGCCATATGTAGAAAGATATCCGACCTACAGAATTAATCCTTATCAGCCATTTACTTGCTACCTAAAGCAGGTAAATCCCAGCAAAGTACCCTAAAAGAGGAATGGACAAAGTGATTCAAGGCCACAAACAGTGGAGGGACTAACTGCTTGGAAACAAAAGGGAAGGCTTGTGG